CGGGTTAGGGTTTGGGGTCCTTTTTATTTTATAGGGTTCGGAGACACCCGCGAATAAGGGAGTTTAGGGCTTCGAGGAGTGGCTTTTAGGGTGTTTATGGCTTTTCGGTCTTCTTCTAGTGTTTAGGGTCTTGTTTAGTAGGGTTCTAATAGTAAGGCTCAAGAAGATATTCTTGAAAGGTGCTATAAGGAGTTTAATCTGGGGGGCGGGGTGAGGCTTTGGGGCCTGGTAGGAAATGGCGCAGGCATCCCCCTATTCTAGTTATAGTATAGTGTGCCCCTGTTTTTGCGGCCTCATTGACGGAACGGGCCTCATTTCGGGCTTAGGGGATCTTGTAAGTTGTAAGAAAGTCCTGCAACCTACACTTACCTCAACCCGAAGACGGAAAATCACATATTCAGTATTTGGGGGCGAGGGTGGTTTTTCAACAGCAGGGGGAAGAGATTAGACTGTATACTTTAATTCACCCTAAACCCTGCGAGGTCCCGATACGCCCTGCAGCAGCCACGTACCTAAACGCTATACCTGACACCCCAAACCCAAGGTAGAAGCCCAGTGTAACTACATGTCTTTGTCTGCTTTGGTTTGCATTAGTTCCCAGGACTTAGCTCGAATCTGCTGCCCAGAGCCAGATCAGAAGTTGTTGTGACGCCATACATTTTGGGGTTGTGATCAGGGTTTAGGGTTTCAAATTCTGAAGACCACTCCAAACCGCTGCAGCTAACATCAAGAGTCTGGGCTTGAACCGAAAACTTGAACAATATCCAAAGCCACAAAGAAGGCTTTGGGTTCTGGGTTTAGGGTTAGCCGTGCAGGGTTTACCTGGGCCCTATAGAACCTGCCTCTGCAATGGGATGCTTATCAACATTTTCTTATGTTAAGTCCCGGAAAGTCGAGAAGGTAGGTTATTATGTTGTAAGGTAGGGTTTAGGTTCATGGGTTCACAGTTCAGGATGGAGGGTTGGGGCTTTCAGTTTTAGGGTTTGGGGGTTCCAGGGTTTAGGGTTTAGGGTTTTAGGTTTAGAAGCAGTAAGAAGCAAGCATTGACTCAGCTAAAGCCCCATGAATGACATGACACCCTCGTCAGATTCTACAAAGCCCTATTGATGCCATAAAACCAGCGTTTGCAAAGCTGCAGCAAAAAGCCCACACCCAACGACAAGAAACCGCTAAAGCCTAAACCCTAAACCCCAAAAAACAAAAAAACTAAAGCCTAAAGCATGGCCACAGAGGCTCCGAGAATCCTTTGGCGCATCTCCACGAGGATGAGGCCCCGGTACAGACGGACAAGCTGAAGCTCGGGCCTCTGAGAATTTTAGGGCTTTTCTTCGGATCTTTCCATAAGGGTGTGAATTTAGGGTTTAGGGTGTTTTTTTGAGGGACTGGGGTTTTTTAAGGGTTTAGGGTGTGTTTTTAAGGGACTAGGGTCTTTTTAGGGTTTAGGGTGTGTTTTTACAGATTGGGGAGGGTCGTCTCGAGTATAATTAAGGGTTTGTAGGGCCGAGGGTTTAGGGTTTAGTGGGAGAGCAGGCAACGTTTACGGTCTTCAGGCTGAAATGATAATTATCATGAGCGGAATCTTCAACCCGCAGCGGTTGAACCTGTTCGTATTGGGGAGTCATTGCGAAGGCTTCAATTGTCAGCTCTCGTGGTTAGGCTCCGCGTGTCGTTTGGGATTTAGGGGTTGTGGTTTCAGTTCTTCGTTATCTCCTCACTTTGCCATCACATAACTTTAGCAAAACATGCACCTTCGTGCTATTCTCATGTCTGGCTCACTAAATCCTGATGTTGCTGAGTTCTTTAGGGTGCCGAGGGTTTTTTTTGGGGGGGTGCGCGTTTGCGCAACTGTCAAGGACAGCTTTTGCTGGCACACATAAGAGTTTAGGGTTTGAAGCCTTGGGCTCAGGGCTCAGAGTCGCATCTCCGGCATCAGAGGAAAGGTGTTGTGCTGCACAGTCACTGCATGCTCCACGCCCAGGGTTTAGGGTTTAGGGTCCATGTCTGCCAGTTCATCATGCATGCCAGCGATGATATGCCGATTGATGGTCCCAGATGCAGTAGGTACAGCATCATCATCCACAACATCACCGAGTCATCGGCATCGTCACCATCATCGTTTTCGAGACACCAGTCACGAGTCTTCTCAGTGGATCCGTCATCAATGCTGCGTCAACCGACCCTAGACCCTAAACCCCTACCCTAAATCCCCACGCCCCTAAACCCCCACACCCCTACCCTAAACCTGCACCCCTGAACCCTAAACCCTCCTACCCTGAACCCCTACACCCCTAAACCCTGAACCCCGAGCCTCTACCCCAAACCCCCAAACCCCTACACCCTAACCCCGAAGCCCTAGACCCTAAGCCCTATAAGCCCCTGCACCCCTAAACCCTGAACTCCGAAGCCCTAGACATTAAGCCCTAGACCCCTGCACCCCTAAACCCTGAACCCCGAAGCCCTAGACCCAAAGCCCTAAGCCGGGTCCATCACGGTCCTGTTTCGGAGCAAGCGAGGATCTTGAACTCTTGACCTTCACCCGGAGAGCCCAATAATACCTCAATACCAGGGAATATACCTTAAATCATCATGATAGTAGGCATACATATATATATATATATACACACACCCATGTATATGTATATATATATATATATATAGACATACACATGGTCGAGTTTGAATTGATAGGGTATTTGGGATCTTTGCCGATAGCTAGGCCGAATCTCACGTTACCCAGCATCGCAAGGATAAAGCTTCTGGGGTTTGTGGTTTGTTTTTCGAGTTTAGGTTGAAATTTAAGCTTCTGGGTTTTGGGGGTTTGGGTTTTGCTGAGCGCCTTTTGGATGACGGCGTGCGAGGTCCTTCCACTGAGCCGGGTCGTCGCCAGGGCGGGGCATCCAACAGCGCGGCCAGACAAACCCTAAACCGCAAGCTCAGTCAGCTGATCTGGAGCCCCATACCTTGGACTTAGGGGTTTCGGTTTAGGGTTTAGAGGGACCATCCGAACAACAATTAGGACCCCCCTATTACCCTATTTTAAGGAACTTATAACTCACTTATTACCTACCTGCTCAGTCCCGCGACCCTCCAAGTAGGGAGCACATAAAGGGTCCAAACCATCCCTGAAAAAATGCCTAGCCCCACTACGAGAATTATCATGCAATATTTAGAGTCTTAGGTTTTCAGCTAGGCGACAACCCTACTCTTCTCCTGATTCAGTTCCAGGAGAAGTCCTGCCAACGAGCTTGCAGCCCGAAGCAAACCCCCAAGCCCAATCGTTCTTGGCGTTCCGTGCTCTCTGTGTGGTTCGACATTCGGGTTCGCGTTGGCGTTTCTACCGGATGCTACTTCAATCATAATTCTAGAACCACCAAAATCAAGTCAGTTAAACGAATCCAAAGCTAAAACAAGTCATCTATTGCGCGACGCGTCATGCTGCAATTGATCGTTCTGAAACGCTGACGGCGAAAACAGTTGCTTCCGGTGCTCTCCAAAGACGTGAGTTACGACCGTTTGCGGTTCTACAGAGGTTGGGGGGCTAATTGGTTCACCCATGCCGCCGGGAGGCTCCAGAAAGTAGATCGTCCTATGCTAGTAATGTAATGTTCCACAGCGACGATGTTTTGCTACGTATTCCGTATTCCCTGCATTCTTAGCTTACCGTTTTCCACAACGACGACAACAACAACACAAACAATCACCATCAATAACAATATAGCAGCAATAAGCTTTTATACTAAGAAAGACACGCAACAATGCAGCAAGAGCAACACACGAACAACACTATCATCAACGACACTCATCGCCGCTCATAGCCTGGTCACAACGATAATGACAAGCACTGCGGCAGAGACAAGCGTATTCATTGCGATAACGACAACTGCAATGTCGTCAGCGTATTCTTCTTGTTCATTGTATCACTCAGTATATCGGTCCTAACAGCAGCGACGAAAAGCGTCAGCAGCAACAGCAGAGACACCAGTGAGAATGAAGACACTACAATCATATAGTATAAACCGAACATGAGAACGACTGCGACGAGGACCGCGACCACGACCTCAACACTCAAACAAACCCATTAATTCATTGTTTAGCCATGTCAGCGGAGAAACGATGAGGGAACTTCGCGAACGGCTGTAATGTTGGAACATGCTGATGATGGTGTCGATGATGGTGATCATAGCGGAAGTGTTTTTCCTACTACCTCGTTTTCAGTGTACTGCAACATCTACATGAGCTGTTTTGCACTTCCGGACTGCTTTGGATTGCGGATGTTGGCTCAAGACTGCACGTTAGCGGTCTGTAGCTGTGATAGTTTAATTGAGACAGCGGCTGTCAACGCACAAATGTTTGGGGGGTGTCTACAGCTAGTATGACTTGTCTGACATTCTCTCCTTAGTCTGGTACGCACCATGGCATACGTTGTGAGTTCCGCGCCGCAACCAGCTGTGGTCTCTGCACAGACGCCGCAGGGTCATCGGCCGCTTGAAAGCAAAGGCTGATGCTACCTTTCCCTGATCCCTAAACCCTAAAGTGTTTAGGGTTTAGGGTTTAGGGGTTTAGGGTTTAGGGTTTAGCCCTAAGGAAGGTGAAGAAGGGTATGACAAGGGTTACAACGTGAGTGTGACTGTTGAGACTTTCGCCGCGAGTGAGAGGGTTGTCGAAGACGACAAGGGTCCGTACTTCGCTCACCCCACGGGGTTAGTCGGGAGGCTTCGGCGGACCGAAAAAGGAGCGCCTAAACAAAAAAATCTTTAGCACTAAACCCTCAACCCTAAACTTTAGCACTCTACCCTAAACCCTAAACTTTAGCACTTTCCCTAAACAAATCCCTGTAGACCTAAACCCTAAACCCTAAAACTTTGTAGATCTCTGGGACCCGAAACCCTAAACCCTTTGGACCTAAACCCCCTAAACCCTAAACTTTGTAGATCTCTGGAACCGAGTTCTACGACCTGAAGCCCTATATAAACAGCCTGAACCCCAAATTTAGCGATCAGGAACGGCGTGGCACGTCCTGTCCTGGAGATGGAGCGGGTGGCACCGAATTTAGGGTGTTGGGGTTTTGGGGTTTAGAGTTTAGGGTTTAGGGTTAATGTTTAGGGTTTAGGGTTTAGGGTTTTGGGGGGCATTCGGGATCCTTCGGAAGTATCCTAGGTGAGAGCAGGGAGACCCTTTAAGGGAGGCCCTTCTTGACCCTACTTATGGCTCTCTGAAAAAAGGGAACCTTATTGAGAGGGTCTATGTCCCCAAGGGTCCCAGTAATCCTAACTCCTCAAGTACCTTTGTTCAGTGATCACTGCTTACCTCGAGGTCGCCTTAGTAAGACAGAGTCGAATAAAAAGAATGCCTCGCTTCCGGTTTGTACAGGCTTTGGGCAGTGACAGGATAACTAGTTGCATTCGCAGCCCGCTTTGACTCTGGGCCATCTTGTCTGTAGTCCGATTTTCGCAACGCCTGAACACGCAAAAGCCAGGTTTTTAACTTCCAGTAAACTGCCCTAAACCTCACGAAGTTCTGAGCTTCCGGTCCAGCTGTTGCCGAACAAGCACCGCTACCTAGGTGGCCCCATCAGCATAGTCAAGCATACCTTAACGGGTCTCCGGATTAGCGTTTACGTATTTAGGGCTTATGTTTTTGTTACCTTAAGCTGCATTGGTGATCTTCGTTTAGCAGTCATGACGAACACTGAATATTCCTGAATATATATATATATATATACATACACATACATGCATACATACATAAATACGTAAATACATACATGCATACATACATGCGTACATACAAGAACTATATAAGGCATAAGCAGGCACCCTGCAAAAATATGGGTTCACTACGAATGTCTGAAGAGTCGGTGATAGTATGGCTAATGCAAGCTTACGACAATGTGCCCCAAAACGCTCTGCTCAGTAACATGCATCAAACCTCTACCCCAGAACGGCCGCAACGACGAGTGGCTCTGCTGCAACAGTTCTCAGTCAGGCTGAAATATTGTTATTCGTTTCAAAAGCCAGAGAGCCCGAACTACTCCTTTGAAGATGAATATTTGTTCTGCTCTGTAGACACTCTTTCGATCCTTTTTCGAAGACTCTGGATGATGTTGGTGGGGTAGGCTAGGTGGCGAAGATCGAGAAGTGCCGAATGCTGGCAGTTAGGTGGATATGATGTTTCTAGGTTGAATGAACGTTGACTACGCTTCTGCGATTTTTTGCATTTCAGTCTTTGGGGATTTCGCTTCAACATGATGAGGAAAAATTCCGGTACCCTAAACCCTAAGCCCGGTACTTGTACCCCATGACTAGCCCCTGCCCTCGAAGCGAACTCTGCAGTTAAAGCCGAACCCAGGATCTAAAACATGCAGACTTTCAACAGTTTCCAATCTTGATCCATGTGCTGCCTTTCAATCGCAGGCTGCAGGTTTTAGTTGCCTTACCTTATATTCTAACATATTCTAAGCCTACTTACATGCCCGTAGTGTTTGGACTCATGCCCTAAGGCCTCCACCAGTATGTCCCTAAGGCCCCACACTGCTATGAAAACGCGCAGGAAGCCGTTGTACAAACCTTTTCGACCGATGTCGACACCCCAAAAAGCAAAGCGATCCTATACAAACCCTTCACAAAAGTCTAAAAGAATTCCTATGTACATCCTTCACTAAACTCTAAAAGAATTCCCATGTAGATCCTTCACAAAACCTGCCCTGCACAGGGAGGGGTCCTTCACCCACTTCGGCAGAGCTCTCGGGCCCTCTGCGCAATCGCATCCAGCCTGGGGCTCAGCTGCTCTAAGACTCTAACCCTAACCCCCCAGTTACCTACTATACAGGGTACTAGAGCCCCTAAGGCCCTATATAGTAGGTACCTGGAGGGTTAGGGTAAGATAAAGGCCTTACTCTAAGGGTCCAAAGGCCAAAGGACCCAATAGTTAGGTACTTTGGTCACGGATAGTGGTTCTCTAGGTTAATATTTGGGAGAGAGATATGATTATTGGGTACTTGGACCCCTAGGGTTAATCATTACCTATATGTTTTTCCCGAAAGCATCGCGAAGGGTTCTTCCGTGCGGAGCCTCGCAGAGAAAATACATAGAGAATACGTGGAGTCAAGTACACTTGACTTTACCACACTTGACTCTACGACACTTAGCTTTACCACACTTGACTC